GCAGTTGCACAGGGACCTGGACCCCCCTTCACTTGCAGTTGCAAAAAGGTGTGTGGGAAAAAAACTACTACTACTACTACTATTACTACTACTACTACTACTACTACTACTACTACTACTACTACAAATACTACGACGCGACTATGGCCAAAGTGACGATAGAATCGAGATAGCTAGGCAGGGTAATGCAAACGCTGTTGCCGACGGCCCCCCGGGGCTCCGGCATCATCGAACACTGCTTGCTCGTCGAAGGGCACGTTAAAGTAGTGGTTGATGTTCTGGCATTCCCGCGTTTCATTGCCAGAAGGATCTCTGCAAGAGATACATGTAGGGGGTGGGATCAGAAGATCCGTGCAATGGACGAGAGGAGAGCTAGTCAGCTAGTCCTTCTCCGGGCGCAACGGTTCAAAAGACAAGCACAGGATCATCGTCGTGGATCAACTCTGAATGGCGGAAGAGCCACAGCTTGTCGACTTTTGAGGCTGAGCCGGCCTCTGGCTCGGATCCGTCGCAGCGATTACCAGAAGGCGAAACTCCGCTGCTATGCGGGCCAAAGGAAGCAAACTCGAGAAGATCTTCAACTTCGCTTGCCTTGCCAGATGCTGGCTGCCTCGTCACCACTTTGAGCAAAGTCCTACGAGGCGCAAGGTTGTCCTCAGCAATATGAGGGCCTTGCGTCTCGAAGCACCTTCCCTTGACGTGGTTCCCCGGTGTCATCCCCGCATGCTTTTAAACTCTGCTGGAACGAGTGTGTGGCTGACTTCGTCCCAGGCGGTCAAGAGGGTACAGTACGTAGTGGTTTTCGGCATTCCCATCAGTGAAATCTGGAAGAAGGGACGGGTCCCTACCCCTCTGCAGGTTTGAAGTGGACAGATATGCCGATATGCCAACTCAGACTCCGCCCCGAATTGAGCTGCTGTCTTTTCCACAAGGACACCCTCGAACTTCTTTCATTAAGCATGACGGTTGTGAACCGAAGCCTGGGCCCGAGTATCCTTTGTGCTGCAAGCCCTTCACCCAAGTCCAAAAATTCCGAAGCAGGCTACAAGTGTGCACGTACTTACCAAATCTTGGCTGCGGCGGCGCCTCCTTTAACGTGCTTGCAAACTCCTCCGACTGGATCAGAGACCCCATGTCGTCCAGGCTGAACCAATCGTACGGCTGGCCCTGTCAGGACACTGATGAAGTAAAGATCCGCGCTGAAAGCTCCCCTGAATTACAACAGCCTGCAGGCCTTCAGAATGCGCATGATTTACTGAATCCATGTCGCGACCTCACGCACATCAAACCCCAGACTCCACATTGCAAGCAGCGTGCGAGCCGCTGCAGAGAGATGTCTCGAATCACTGACGCCCAGCAACCATGGAACCATTAACCCTACACCCCAAAACCTTAAGCCCGAAACCCCTATCTCCGAACCCCGAAACCCCAAAAACTCAGCCCTAAGAGCTGGCCTTGAATTCCACTCTCAGCATCCTCTCCTTCCCCGGTGATGCTGCATCCGGCGAGGCAGCAACACTGGCACGGGACGACAGGAGGAGTACGTAACACAATATCTCATCTCAAAAGGACGGACTAGAATATACATGCATGCATGTATGTATGCACGTATGTATGCATGCATGTGTGTATGTCCGGATGCATGTATGTGTACGTTTAAGTATCTGTGTATGACTATCTATCTATGTAACGTATCGACTATTTAACTAGCTGTTCATCTACCTACCTGTCTACCTCCCTAGCAATGTGTCCGTGTATGGGTATGTGCGTATGTGGGTATGAGTATGTGCATGTCTGTTTATCGATCTGTCTATCGATCTACCTATCTATCTCTATCTATCTGTCTGTCCATCTATCTATGATAGATAGCTGCATACCAATCTGTCTGCCTATCTATCTACCTATCTATCTGTCGATCCGTCCATGTTTTATACTTCTACCTCTATCTATCTATCTATCTATCTATCTATCTATCTACCTATGTATCTGTCTATCTATCTATCTATCTATCTATCTATCTATGTATCTGCCTATCTATCTCTCTTTTTGTCTATCTATCTAACAAAACAGCTATCTATCTTGATATCATGCTACCTATCGATCTACCATAGTTGTCTATTTATCTATCTAGCTATCTATCTATCTATCTCTCCCTCTAGCTCTCTCTCTCTCTCTCTCTGTCTCTCTCTCTCTCTCTACCAGGACAGAGGGAACGGGCGGACGCCCGAACCCTCGCGCGCGAACGCGCACCGGCGGGTCACAGGTTTTCAAGGTTCCCATTGAAGTTTCGCCCCAGCAGGCTCGGCTACACAGAGCATTACACGGCACTGAAAAGAGTTCCCCAACCGGCGACAACATAAATCATACACAAACAAAGGACTGCAACACAACTAAGGCCAGGGCCGAGTCGGCGGGGAACTCTGTCAAAGGATTGGAATGCGAGGCCAAAAACGTGCATTTTCCCCCCGCTTCATCGAGCAGGTTTTGGTTCGCCTATGGGTGGAAAGAAATCGAATTGAGGCTCAGGCATCCCCCAATTTCTCACTGGGCTTACAGGTGAGTTGAAAAGAAACTAAGATTTGTGGGCGAAGTGGCCCTATACATGGATTGGAACGGAGATGGCACTACAGCCGTTACAAAGTTCTGTCTTTTTCTTTCACCAGGGTTAGGGGTAAGGGAGGACAAGCCCCCCTCACCCGCGCGCGTTAAGCGCCCCCGACATATGGGGAGCGAGTGGTGAGAAATGCATGCGACAGAAAGGCAAAGGTGGCCCGTACAAGAAAGTTGCGCTACACAATAACTGCAAGAACTACCACGGGACTCATTCCCCGGCCGCCTTGAAGCCCTTTCAGGCCTGCATGGAGTACCCTATTAGCCAAGCACCTCAGCTTCTCCTTCAGAAGAAAATGAATGTCGGGGGTGATATCCCCAGGACCATGAAAATGACAACGGCAGAAGGCTCCCGTCTGAAGGAGAAGGGGTTTTGCTTCCCCTTGGCAGCACTGTAAACTGTGTGTTGAGACATGTCGCATCAAAACCAAACATACCATTTGCAGTGCGAGGACGGGCTACACGTGCATAAAGACAGCGTGAAGTTCAGCAGGGCAGACATGTCAGGGGCCTTCGGACTCACTCTCGAAATCAACTCCCCTATCTCAACAACAGCAAGGGGAAACGTGAAACCACCCCCTGAAGCAGCGACCCCGGAACCTTCTCAAGACAAGTGAACCTGAACAGAAAGATCCAGGGTTTCCCCGGTGCAAGAAAGTGGTCCGTCAAAGGCTGGGTAACTCAGCGATGGGGGTTATCCCCTGAGAGCTCTGCAGCAACATTCGTTAAAGGCCATCGACATGTCGGAAGGGTGCAGGGTCCAAAACAGAGACAAGCAACCTAAGGTGAACACCATGGCACTGGAAAAATCGGCCTAAAACTGGTAAAAAGTTCCGGCAGGCAAGGATGGACATGTCATGGCTTCCGAATTGAACCTCTCGCGTTCTGTTCCCTCTGTCAAAAGTAGAAAGAACATAACCCCTCAAGCGACCCCCAGAACCTTCAGAAGACAACCAACCTGAACAGAAGGCTTCGGGGGTTTTCCCCGAACTTTGGAGAGTTGACATGCTTCCATGCACAGCCTGGCTGTTGGTTGCACCGAGGTTCACGCAGCAGAAGGGAACCAAGAAAATTACAAAGATTGACGGGGAGCTCAACCCCGGTGCACAACCCTTGAGAAATTGCTGAAGTAGGGGCACTCATGCTCTCTCAGTTGAGCTTGTTGTGCGGCTTCATCTGAATCGGCTTGTCGGTAGGCACCATGGGATCCACACCGCCGCGAGAAACTCCCCGAAGCCAAAAATCACTTGTCCTCTTCCGAGAAGTAGGCCGTGTCCATGACAGCGTGGAGCCTTCGTCGTCTGTGTGACGAAACACTCGTGGCCTCAGGAGCTTCCTCCTGTCCAAAGTTGCCTGGTCGAAGGGCCTGGTTGGGCAGCAGGACGGTGCTCGCCTCCGATCCCGGCAACGAAGGGGGCTGCCCCCCGGTTGCATGCTGAGGGCTATCCCCGGCGGTCAGGACAATGGGCATGCCCCAGATTGCCGTAGTCCACTGAAACAAAAGGCTATGAGCTTCCTGGATCACCAAAGCGCTCTGGTGCTCAAGGAAGGGCAAGACCTGCTCGAGAAGCTGCTGGGCACGTAGGACTTGGAAAGGGGTAGCATCCCCTCTTTGACACACCTGTGGTTCCCCTGCTGGTTGCTGAGGAAGACTGCCAGGTAGCTGTTCAGGTGCACGTACTGGAGCTGCTGGGCCAGGGCGAGGTTCGGGTGGCTGGTGTGCAAAACGGGGAGCCTGCGCACTTCCCGATGGCATCTCGTTCGTCCGGCGTTTTTTGGGGGATGGACTCCCCGAAGCTTCTCCAGATTTGCTGTTGGCTCCAAACCTGGTCTGAATCCAGGCAAGCAGGGCGTCCATGTGGGCGCTGGCCCGACTGACTGCATGCCAGGTCGACGTCAGGGCTTCCGTCGTGCTAGCCAGACCTCCTTCTGCAATAGCCAGGTGACTAAAACTGAGGCTCTGGAGGGCCGTGCTAAGGCTGGCATCTCCTTCGGGAGCTCCCGGGGCTTGTGGGGAACGCCCCCAGCTGCGAAGGATTTGCTGTCCTTCCAGAAGCAGCGCTTCGACGCGCCCTATCTCTCTGCCTAGATGGCGCACTGGTAGCTCTTTGTGGTTCACGACGAGGTTACTCAACGTAGCTTCGGCCTCCACCAAGGGGTTGTTCATGACGAAATAGATCTCGGTAGGCGCTGCATGCGTGGTGGCAGTGGGGTCACCCCCGGGGAAGTCGGCGCCAGGGTGTTCTCCCCTTTCGCGGCTTTCGCTCACTGTTTGCAACTTGTCCAAGTAGTAACATGCCTGGTAAGCCAGCTCCGTGACCTCTTCCCTGGGTTGCAAGTGCGACTGCTGGAGGAGGTCGTGGAGTAGCGCTCGGAGCAACCGCAACACGTTGAGTACCGAGGTACTCCCCCGAGAAACTTCTTGCTGGAGTTGGAGTATCTGCGTGGACAGTGCTGGCGATGTCCACGTCGTAGGGCTGTTTTGGTCTGGTTGTGTAGGGGAGGTGCCCTGCTGTCCCCTCTGCATGAAGGAGGCAGAATCACCATCCTGACTGTCCCACGGCTGCAGGTACTTGGTCGTGTAGGTCTGGAGGAGCACAGTGTCGTCGGCAGGCGGTTGGTCGGGTGGCGGCATTGGCGGGTCTTCACTCGGCCAGCTTGTCTCAGAGTCAGAGATGCCGCCACTTTGGCCAGGAGGAGATTGTCCCGGCACATCTTGCGTTTCTGTTGCTTCTTCTTCGGTCTGCAGCAGGGGGTCGGCTCGAGCTTGACCCGGCTGTTCTGAAGCTGGTTCAGGTGGAATGGGCATCGGCCGGGAGGAGTCTGAAGTCGGCGTTGTAGATCTCGGTTTCGGCTTTGCTTTGACAGTAGCTTTGGCTTTAGCCTTCATAGCGGGGTTTATGCCCCGGTGCCCACGCTGTGTGGGGTCATGTCTTTCAGGTGGTAGAGGAGGTTGAACCGGGTCAGGCTGTGGGACGATGGAGTAGCCCCCCAGGATCTCAATGTCGTTGTCAAACCGGGGCCTTCGTCGCCATTCCTGACCTTCTTGGTTCCACTGGAGCCAAAATGTCATTCCCACTGTCAGGGGGATTGCCCCTGTGTTGTTGGAGCTCGAACTGCTGGAGGAAGATGCCGATGTAGCGTCGATCATAACCAACCAGAGCTGGGGAGTCTTAATGGCCCCAAGTTCGACTCTAGTGGAAGCAACCCATGGTCCCACCGGTAGCATCGTAAGGCACGTTCCATGCGGTAGGTGCCTTGCACCGGGGGCCGACCCCGACATAGTGTTGTAGATGACGAGGGTGGGTTCTTGTCCAAGTCTGCGAGGGTGCCGGGCAAACTGCCAGGCTCGGAGATCGGTCACAGTGCCCCGCCACGCTCCGGTTGCAACACCACGTAGTGTGAGTATGCTGCGTCGCCGCAGAGGAAAGACTGGAGGTAGTGTTGTCGGGGGTGCCCCCGCCAGCCACGAAAGATCCTGCGTGTTGGCCCCCGTCCGTATAGTGCTGCGCATCGGTTCCGTGTTTCTGGTGGCTGTCCATTCGGGGGCTCTGCGCTGGCTGACCGCAATGGCCGAATGGGCTTCCAAGTCAGAAAGTTTTCCTGGGTGCTCGAGGCCGGCGACTTCTTCAGGAGCTTGCGAGCCATCGGGTCGCGGTGGCGGTTGGTAGAAGAGGAGGTCCCCTGGATCAAGGTCGGCGACGACAGGCTCCTGCGTTGGAGGCCGCGGTAGCTTCACCACCGGGTATTTGTCCACGCCATCGCCTCTCAGTTGTATATGGGTGCTATTCGACAGCTTCCTTGGAACGAACTGAGTGCGAGTGGGTTTGGGCGGGTGTTCCCGGTGTCCTCTAGGAAGCGAGAAGCGGACACTCCTGCTTTGTGCTTGGCTGCGGTTCTGTTGTGCGGCCCGCGGTTGACCGGCCTGGTCACGGGAAGGTCTGCTGTCTTGTGGCTGTGGATGCGGCTTTTGTGGCATGCTGCTGTGCTGGTGGAGGAGGGAGTGGCTCTGGTCGGCTGCAGCTGTTCCGGGGACCGTTGGCTGTTGTTGTGTTGAAGATTGCTGACGTGGTAGCTGTTGTGACGGTTGCTGGCTCTCATGCAGCTGAGTGTCTTCCGTCATGGGCCCCGCTGCTTTGCTGGAAGTGGCCAGGTCGGGCCGCTGGTGTGGGGGAAGGTTGTACGGGTTGTTTTGCCTTCGGGCTGCATGATCTGCTCTAGCTTGTGCGTCAGCTTTTGTGGGCTGCGGGCCTGTTGGCATCTGGGGGGATGGATCCCCTGAGGAACTGCCAGCTGCTTGGGCTTGCGGCTGCTGCTGTCTGTTCGGTGGCTGAGGGATGATATTGCCAGCACTGTCGTAGGTGTAGTGGTGGGAGTTGAGGAGGTTGCTGAGGGCAGCTCGATGGGCCTCGGAGATGGTGGCACGCGGCTGTCGGCTTGGCGGGATCTCCCCGCGCTTAAGCCACTCAAGAGCTTTTCGCCACGTCAACCAAGCCGGCTTTCGTGGCCAGCCGCGTTCCTCCCAAAGTTTCTTAACGTCCGATTTCCGGGCCTTGTTCTTGACTCGCTGCGATCCATGGCCTGCAGGTCTGCGCTGGGGCTTGTCGCCCCTGTTTTTGTTGAGCTGGGGGTCTTGCTCGGTGTCTGCCTGCTCATCGTCGGTGTCGCTCTCCCATTCGTCCAGGGAGTCGTCATCATCATCTTGGGTTGGCTGTTCCGCTGGAGCTGCTGCTGCCGCCGACGGGGTTTCCCCCGTTGTTGCAGGGTCAAAGGTAGAGCCTGCCGTTATGCCTGGCGGGGCTGAGATCGATGCACTCGTCGCTTCAGTTGCTGGCTGACTCTGAGATGTGCTGGCCGGGCAGGTCGGAGCTATGCCATCGTCATCGATGGGGGAGGCGTCGCCAGGACTCATGTGTTGTGGTACCACGTCGTTGTCGTTCGGGACGGCTGTCTCTGCTTCACTATCGTCTGGGACCAGGGGTGGCTGCCCTAGTCCGAAGGGGTTGCTTCTCCACTCTGAAGGGGGCAGCAACGGCCCTTGGCTGGCATATTGTCTTGCAAGCACTCCCCAAGGGTCCATCGTTGGGGGCGAGTACTGGCCGGCGCCCAAAACAGTTGCTTCAGGTAGTTGATGAGGATCAGATTGTGGTAGAGGGGCCACGTCCCCTGGTGTCATTGGCAACTGGCTCTGAGCT